CAACATATTTCACATAGGAACATGAGTAGACAACAGGAGTGCTCCGTTCCAGTTGCTGAGCTGATAGGTGCTTCCAGAATAAGCCATTAGAATTGGATCATATTTCATTCCTAAATCTATCAACCTTTTTTTTTTAAAATGGCAAATAAAACCAGGAAAGGTTAAAAGATCTAATATACAGCCATACTGCAAGACGCTGGAGTGGTGTAAACAGTCTATGCCTTCACACACATACCAGGATACTTGCTAATTCTGTAAATTTCCACCCATAGAGTGAAGGTAATACAACTAAATATGAGCCTATATCTCATACACTTCTGTGCAAAAGCCAGACATCCTTCCTAAAATAACTAATGAAAGTGGGTTTTGCTTATCTGGCTGATTTTCCACTAAAGCTTATTAAATAACGTTCATATTTTCTACCCTGCTGACTGAGCTGAGGGGCAATAAACCTCATGGGTGACTGGTGGTGACAAGCAGCCGGAGTGTGTAGGTTTTTCAACTGCTCCACGCAGAGTCATTAAGGAACATCTGCCCATGCTGCTGCACCTAGGAGAGGAACACACTTGCTCCCCTTCAACATTTCTTTCCCCTGAAGGAAAAAACGCTTCTTAATTGTGTTTTACCAGCAATTAACTTTTCCCTGCATCAGCACACTCCTCCTCTGTTAAGACTCACAGTATCCAACATATATACACAAAATTCTTGCCAGAGCGCTTGATTTTTTTGTCTAACAATCTTCTTGACCAGAAATACTGCAATTTAAAATGTGGTTCTAACAACAAGACTCCCAAATTCCTAATATAGAGTCAGAGGAACCCCAGGGGAAAATGAGTTTGAGGGCAGCTATCTACTCTCATTAAAAACATTCCTCAACTGGTATCTAGGAATTTGTCTCTAAGAAGGAGACAGAATCGTTTGGTGGCTTCGGAAGCTCTCTGATCACCAGGTGATGTCACCATCCCAGTTATCCATATTAGGCTTGATTCCAGAACTACAGTCCAGAACGGAAGGTTTGGTTTGAGCCCCACTGGCAGAGGTCTGAGAAGAAGCCTGAATAACACGGATATCTGCAGCGTATCCAGTTCTTGCAAGACCTGGCTGAACTGCCTTTTCAGTGAAAGCTGATCCACTCTCCTCAGCACTCATCTTTCAAGAGTTCATTTGACTTTGTCATCCTATCTCAAGTGAAAAGGATTACCCTGAGAATCCACAAGCACATGAAAATCACATAATAGCAAATGGATGTTAGAAATCTGTAGCTTGAGGCAGCAGGGAGTGACACTCAACATGTCTTATAAAAGTCACTATGCATTTTAAACTCCATGTTATTGCTAAACAGATCAGGAACACAAAGATCTGTCAAGCAGAAAAAAGCACAGCAAGGGTCCAATGTCTGATGGAGAAGTCTAAACTTAATTACTGGTACAAAGTCATGCGTTCTGCTACAAGTATAAGAATACACTAACTTCAAGTTCCTCTTAATTGAATGCACTAGTGCTGCAGAAAGGTACCGACTAACTAACTCTGTGATTCGTACACGTGAGTGACAACTACAGATGGGCATTCCCATTTGCAAGCAGAACGCTTCCATTTTAATTTCTGCAAGTTCATAAATCAAACCATAGATCATCTGGAAATAGCTGTAATATTATCTGATTTTAAGGTCAAAATTCAGAAGGCCTAGACAGCTCTCATCCAAACTCACTAATCTTACCAGGGCTTTTAAGCTTTTTACCTGCATCCAAGGGAACAAAAAAAAAAAATATGAAGTTTGCCATTTTTAATATACCCGTTTTAAAATATACATCTATCTTCTCAAACAAATGTCCCACCTATTAATTTAGCATTGTGAGCTGAGGCTTTAAAAGCAAAACCTCAACTGTACAATTAATAATAAAACCCTGCCATATTTTCATTAGTGCACTTCCAATGTGGGCAGACGGACGTCTAATGGTAAATGAGGCTCTGTGGCAAATTCTGCCTTGAAATGCAAAGGCCACCTTACTTTTGGGGAAAGAGAGGGGCAGAGCAGTACATGGAGCCTAGGTGAGCTTACAAATATGCTCATTGGTTTTGCTCCTTAGTCTGACATGGCAAAACAGTGTACGTTCTACATATCAGGAGTTTAAAAAGTCTTTGTGAAAAGGGCCAGGCATCTAAAAATACTGACAAATGGGCTACAAAAAGCATTAGTGTGCTGCAAAGCAAATGAAACATTTCTATAAGGTCTATATTTTTGCTGCTACAGCCCAAAAGGTGCAGAACAGAAAGATACACCACTGAAGGTATGAAAACTGACTATATTTTACCTCTCCAAAAGCAGAAATAGCAGGGCAGTAGAATGAGAAAAGCTTTCAGGATCTCTGTGTCCTGATTACCTATGGGGGTCCCTGTACCAGCCTATGTTTTACAATTTAATCAGCACTTCATTCAACCATGGGAACTCCATCACCTCACCCAGTTTGGTTCTGCTGGTGGTGCCTTAGCACACCCCTCCTAAGCCTCTGAGAGCAGTAGGCGCCCACTACTGACTATGTAACAAATGTAAATCAAGCTCTGTATCCTAAACCTGATTTAAACATTTTGTATTCATCACTCCTGGCACAATGCGTAGAGGATGAGTAATTAGATCATTATATCCCCATCAATGAAAATCTAACATCACTGGGACAGGAAGTTGCAGCTGCATAACAACAGACAGCAGTACTGTATAGTAGGTTAGAAACAGAAAAGGAAAGCACTATAGGAGATTTAAAGCTAGGAGGGATATTATTATAATTATCCTGACTGTAATATAGCCAAGAAAACAGCGATTTGAAAGGAAGCCCTCAAAGTTCCTACCCCAAAAATGATTATAACAATTTTTCATAGCTATTTTTCAGCAAATCTGGTCTCAGGTTTTGCTTCTCAGATGTCTTCTGTTGGTACAGCATTAGCCTACCCAGAACTTAGAAGGGAAAGCTTATGAATAAAATTCCAATTCTGCCATGCATTCTCTCTAAGTGCAGTGTTATTGCAGAGAAAATTAGTTCTTAAAAGCCATATTCCAAAACAGAATTATTTGCTTTTCACAAGTGCTTTTTTGAGTTTCAGGTATAAATCATCTTTATTTCAGATGACTGAGAAGTATCCAGAGGGGAAATTCTATTAAAAGAAATCACCCTACCCACATTTTAACAGTAGAAATTTAGCAAAAGCATCTGAAAAAACCACCACAATAGAATTTTGCCATTATCCTTTGCACTGGGATGATTTTTTTCTCCCCCTTCTGCTGCTAGAATAGGAGAACATTCTTCCCCAACCCAAAGACAAGCTTTATAATGTAATAGACAGGGTATTTTTTCCTCAAAATTTAGTTGTGATTAGAGACAAAAATCTGTACAGAAAATGTTTGGCTTAGGAGTTGAAAATTTTGAATGAGTGTTTCTTTGCACAGATCTCATCAATATGTTCTAAGTCTGCTGCTGAGAAATGGATCACCCAGAAAGACAGAGCTGGTGACTCCTCAACTCTTGTTACTCTGAAGTATAGGATATCCATTAATAGAGATACAGCTATTGCTTTTCTGTTAGAAAAGGTAATACTATGATTCTTTTGAGTGACACTTAGGGACAAATTTTACTTAGAGTGCAAAATTGATCAAAGACAGCAAGGGAGTACCAGACAGGAAACAAGGGAACGACTCAGGACATCTTAATCTTATTTGCAGTCATCTTTCATGTACATTTCACGACGGTTGAGGAATCAAGAATGTTATCAATAAACAGAAAGTGCTTCTCTAAGAATTTTCAGACTTAATTGCTCAGTCATATCTATGTTCAAAATTATAGAAACAACTAATGTTTATTTGGATAGTTTTCTTTCAATTACTACAGAATGAAAATGTACCTTGAAGAGTAATGTGTGCATTCATGGGCAAAAAGTAAGGATCAGATTGTGTACAAATACTTATCAGAGAAGCATACAACCAAAGCACCAGTACAGTATTGGTATTGTACAGTAAGTATAATATAGCAAGTATATGTGTAAATATAGGTAGCATTTTGTATGTATTCATACACATGATATAAATTACGACAGTTGTCATTTGTTGAGAATGGCATCATAACTAGTAAGCCATTCTAATTTGAACATCTTAATGGTTTCCTATTGTTTGACACGTATTTTTAGTTGGTGTTCTTTCATTGTCAGGTTTTTTTTATTGCTAAAATGTCTTTACCAATTGCAGTGAGGTTACAGAACATGTAAACTCTGGGATCAGCAAGCAAGGGTGGGAAATAGATTTTTCTCACTGACAAAGGTGCAGCACAAGAATAGCTTAAAAGCTCACTGCGACCTCCTACGGATATTCTCTTCTTAAAAGTGGTGTGGAAAAATATTTAGTAGTATAACTCGGTATTGCCTAGAAGTTTTACTACAATATACTACGTAATTTAGTCCTGCCTCTTTCCAACTCCTGTCTTTTACGAAGGTCACTTAAGTATCTCCACACATGCACATCAGGAACAAATAATACTGTACTTTAGTACCACAGTTCGGCTGCAGTTCTGCAACAATACTACTCGAGAGCCTATAAAACGCAAATAAATTGCTGTCTTCGTAATTCTGGAAAAAAAATCGGATACCGTCAATTCCTCCGAGCAGCACGCTGACAAACCCTACGTCTTCGCAGAGCTAGAGCTCATCTCGCTATTGTTGCACGCTAATTAGAGCGGTTAAGTGCGAGACGTGGATCGTCAGCCACAAAGACAACCCGCCACGCTTGGTCTCTAACACCCGCAGGAGAACTCTTTGAAAGGAAGTTTGTGCCCACCGATGTTCGCAGGCACCGCCTCATAAGAGACAACCCGGTTTCTCTCACTCGCTGTGAGCCAGGGGCCAGCAGAGCGGGCAGCCGGGAGCCAGGGGCCAGCAGAGCGGGCAGCCGGGAGCCAGCCCCGCCGCCCCCGGCCCGGGCAGCCTCACCTCCCCGGAAAGGCTGCGGGAGTCAGACTTACCTTAGTGAGCTGGGCAATCTTCTTGCACATTTTCATGTGCATTTCCTGATTGCATTCCTCTGCCGAGCTGCTGCGAGCGGCTTTAGATCCATTGCAAGTCCCGGGCTGATGAATCTTGTTTATGCCAGAGGCCATTAGGCTTGAATTTTAATCAAGTCTGTCTGCGTACGCTCGATCTGTCCCTGCTGCTGCCCCCCCCTCCCCGAGGCTGCAGGCACTCAAACCCCCATAGCGCTGGAGGAACTTCACCCCCAAACAGGGCAAGCTCCAGCCGCTGCCGCTCTCCTTCTGAGCAGATGTCCTAGTCCTTCAGCACAACACCCAGGCGAAGAGGCAGAGAGCAGCATGTGCAAACATCCTCATCGCGTTTTGTTGGGGTTTTTTTTGATTTTTTTTTTTCCCTCCCCTTCTCTTCAAATGGTTGAGCTTCCGCCAGGAGGAGATGCCAGTGGCTGGATGCTACAAATTCCCCAGAGGGGACGCTGAGCCAGCCATAAAGGCAGCAGCACAGACGTCGCTGGGGTGCTGTTAGAGAGATCGTCTGCAGATTAAATCATGCTGCCTTCTTGGGCTGCCAAAGGATTGCAGAGGTCATCAGAGAGGACGGTGTTGGCACCTTTCATAAGCTCTGCTATTTTGGCAATCCTCTCCAAGTCCAGATGGACCAACAAAGAGATGAAAAAAATACCTTGTTCAATTTTTGTTGCTCAGCAGAAAGCAGAATGAAGCAGTTCTTCCAGCTAAGAGGCAGACTTGAGCGCAGCTGAGCCCAGAAGCTGTGTCCAGGATCCAGTGTGCCTGATCCAAAGAGACTGGTCAGTTCCCCTCAGTCACACTAAAGGCACTGGAAAGGTGCCAGAAGAAAACTGACAGTAATACGGGTCATGTCTTTTTCATCTGCAAGCCGTTCCCTCTCTTCAGAAAGCAGGCTTCTACATGTAAAAATAAATAAAAGGACAGAAAAGGCAGAAAAAAAGCCCACAAAAAATAAGGCAAGCTATTAAGATAATGGGATTTTTGAAGAAGAATGCTTCAGTCAAGTTATGCAAGAGGAAAATGGTTAGTGGGCACGTTTAAACAAGTCTAGAAGAGAAAAGGGAAGGAGAGGAAGGCAAAGTAGGGTGAAATCAGAGGTGGAGAGGGAGAAAAGGGAGAAAAAACAGGTAAGAGAAGTTGAGGGCTGCTGAATAGCCCTTTGATGTGTCACTGCAGCCAGTACAAGAGACCCCATGGAGCAGGCCGAGGGCCCTGTCTCAGCTCACCCTGGCTCACAGCCCCCTCTGAGGCTGCCTCTTCCCCCCTGCAGGTCAGGCAGCTTTCCCCTCTCACCTCCTGGCAGTACTCTCCATCCTTCTTGGGCAAGAAGCTTCCACTTTGCTAGTGATGGGTCTCAGGACTATCAGAATTGGGAAGGAGGATTACCCAGTGTCAGGTAAGGGAAGGGAAAAGTGTCAGCATAAAAAGGAAATTCTCAGTGAGGGCAAAAAGAGATAAAGCACTGTTAAGAATAAATACTCCAAGAGGAAAAGGAAGAATGCCTGCAGGCAGCGGGGAGAAGGAGGAGTGAGAAGATATAAGAAGAGAAGACCTTAGGACAGAGAAACCAAACCCTTTAATTGCTGAGAGAAAAGGAGGGACTCTAAATCTCAGGAGGCAGAAAGAATCTTCACTACAGGAGTGAGAGGAAATGAAGACCGACTGAGAAACGCAGAATAGGAGAAGGGAAAGGCCAGGAAGGAAAACCAAGATGGTCTGGGAGATGCTCAGCAGGGAAGAGAAGTTTAGTGCAGGCAGAACTTTAATAAGAAAAGGTAAGAAACAGAGCCTTGCACACAGGAATGACTAAGTATAGTTTCTTCTGGCACTGGCATTAGTGTCCAAGATGCTGCTGCCTGTGACTGAAACTATGACCAGAGGATAAGGACATGCCATCGTCAATGGTCTGGTGTCTGATAAGACATGAATCACAGAATGATATGGGGTTGGAAGGGACCTCTGGACATCATCTAGTCCAACCCCCCTGCCAAAGTAGGTCCACCCAGAGCAGGTTGCACAGGAACATGTCCAGGTGGGTTTGGAATGTCTCCAGTGACGGAGGCTCCACCATCTCTCTGGGCAGCCTGTTCCAGGGCTCTGCCACCCTCAGAGTAAAGAAAAATTAACAAATGTGCAAAAGGTTTTAAAAGTACTTACAATAAGTTATGTGTGTTATTGCTCTACTAGGCAGATAGTAACATTCATGTTTTTCCTACTGAATACCAGAGGACACAGACACTTACACAAGCACAGACAGAGCCGAGGAACACAGATCTTCAGGTACATGGGGAAAGGAATAAACCACTGAGATATTTTCAAGGAAGCTGTGTATGCATTTTGGAAGGTTAGAGGGGAAAACTTGAGGCTTTGGTACAAGATGGCATTTTAGCAGAACATAACTTGTCACTGGTAAAGTATTCTGAGTCCAGACAAGACTTGCCAGTCAATACTCCAAACATTAGAAAAAGCTTCAATCTCATGCTCAAGTGACTCAAGTTCATTAGATCCACTACACAAAAACGGACAAAATATTACTGCTTATATTTTTAATATGGAAACAGGAAACTACCAGACGCATCAGTTACAAAACATTTCCTAAATAGATAGCAACAAATTCCTATTTTTTGCCTCTTTTTTATCCAGTGACCTACATCTAAAATTACCACAAAGTAATTGGCATGCAGCAGTTTTGGCTTACCCTGTGGCACTGTGTATTTGCTCACACAACTGACTGATAAAGGAAAGAGAAGGGATCCAGAACAGTAGGGCAGAAGTAGGGAAACACCCAGAAGTAGACCATAGCATTGCAGATAAGGTCACTATTTCAAAGGACAAGGAAAAAATCTTGAATTATTAGAGCACGCTTCCCTCTAGAGCGCCATCCAAACTTTGGAGTTTCATCATTCCTTTCCTTTCCAGATAGGATTGTGAAAACCACCAGCTATGATCTCTGAGCCTGTGCTGCTGGTGAGGTCCTTACCTTCCCAGTTGGTCACTGTATCCTTCCCTCAGGAAGCAGCTGATGCTCACTGGAACCTCAGAGTTGGCTCAGAAAACCACAGAAGGTCAGGGCTGAGCTTAAAGGGGCTTCTTGGGCCCATGGGCAAGGGGTGGGGCTGGAGCCCCCAGGTGAGGCTGGTCAGGGGCCATTAAGCTTTATTAGTGCAATCGGGGCCATGAAACATAACCTGTAAAAACTATGACAGCAAACATCCCTTCCAGTTAAACAAAGTATCTGGTATCAGGGTGAGACTGGTATACACTACACAGAGCAAAGCCCAAATGGCCAACATTTGCAATCCTACTTCAGCGTGTTATATACCTACACATGAAATATCAATTATGATACTGGGAATCTGGATCCCTGTCACATATTTACCCTGAAAATGAGCACGTCTAACTGGATTAGACATCACTTTGTCATAACAGAAGCCTGACTTCTGTTTCTACCTAGAAATACAAAGCCTACCAGAAATATTTAAAGCAGACTGGAGGAAATAAATCTTATATCCTGGCTGAAATCCGTCATAAGGGACTGCAAGGTATTCACCAAGGAAAATCCTCATCTGTAGATCTGAGAAGCAGGTAAGCACAAATGGGCTGCCAAATCCATCAAAATAAAAAATAATCTAGTTCACATTATTAGTTTCACTTAAAGGGAAACTCCTGGGTTTTTACGACCACAAGAATCGTAAAGTTTTACCTGCTCTCCTCTTCCTGTTTCCATCTTTTTCTCCCCATCTTCTCCTCTTTCTGTTTCTGTAGTCTTCTTTTCCTATAGTGGAAAAAAGTTAGATGAAATTAATTTTCCGGTAAACATATCTTAAATAGAAAGATGGTTACACATTTTATTTCCCTAGAAAATACAACCAAAACAAAACAAAATCCCAAAAAACCCAACTCATTGAGCATTTGCTGTTGATTATAATGTTTTTGGAGAGTAACTATTTATTCCACATGAAATAAAAACTTTTAGAAAAAGTTAATATGTATGATTGTATGTTACTATTGTACTTGTGCATACAGAATGCATTTCCTTCCCTCTAGGAGCAGGAAGCCAGATCCATTTTAACCTTTTAAAAGTTAATACAAAACACAAACAACTCACCTTTAAAAAGCAAGCATCTGTTTTAAACATACACAAATGTATGGTAGTACAATATATCAGGGAAAAACCTCTGTGACACATGTATAAATTATTTTAAAATTTATTTTTATTTTTGTCTATAGAACAGAACACTTTTTTCCCTGCTGCTGTCCTCCACTCTCCACATACAGCTCATATACCTCATAATCCTTGACACAATTGTAAAGAGAAAATAATTCCATTATTTTGTCTATAAAAATCTGCTACTTAAAGAAAACACTGGGAAGATTCAGATTTGGAACAAGACTGACCCCTAGTGCTTATCTATTTTATTTGTTAGGTGGGTTGTTTTTTTTCTTAGAAAGCCAAAAGTGACCCTTCTTCAGGATGGATTCTGTCTATTTCACCTTCTGTCATTTGATGGTATGTAAACTGTTTTTCTAGGTAACTATCATCACTTGAGGTAATGAGACACTTATTTTTTAAAGCTCAAACACATAAAGGCATCAAATACATTAAATTCCTAATGTCCACATCTTAACTATTTCTGTTAAGGTTTTTGAATACTGTCCTTAAGTCTGCAATTAACATATGCTCAGACTGTTTCAGCTAATCATCCCCTGCCTTGCTTCCCCTTTAATATCAGCCACTGTCTCACAGTACGTTCTGTAACCTGTAACGTGTCTCTGGAGTTTGAGCTTAGTTATCTTTCCTGTTTTTAATAAGATACAAAATTTATTATTATTCTGAAGTTTAGAGATTTCTGGGAAAACATTAGGTTCACAACAAGTGCTTGAAAAATTGAGGAAAATTTCTACTAGTAAAAGATTCAGTCTAGAAGGAACACAAATAAGTATTCCAAGTCAGTTATCCATACTGTCCATCTTTTCAGCCCCCCTTACAGCTGACACAAAACAGAAAGATGTCTCAGTCAGAAACACAATCTACAAGTTGGATCCATCATGGGTAGTTAACTCAAGGAAAACTAAGCAAGCGGCTACTTACTTAGCCAGTTAACCTAGTGAACTTAATCCCTTTTCTTACCTGTATCTCTAAAACAGGCAAATGTATCTCGCTCTAGATCTACCGCTCCCCAAAGGGCTTTTATTACTTTTAGGCACAGCCTGAGCCTTCTTGGTTTGCTGCCCCAATTGCTTCGATGTAAGGCGTTTGTTAACAAAACGCAATTACACTCATTTTTTCAGATGGTCACGTCCGGAGAGGTCTTCGGGAGAGCGGCTGAGGCCAGCACCACAGTTTATCATCCTTATTCAACAGCTTTGCACCAACGTACATTGTGGAAATCCTCCCGCACGACGCTTCTCCTCAGCCTCTGGCTCAGCCGACACCCGGCCTGCTTTGAAACAGCCGCCCCTACCGGGAGCGCGCCCCAGAAGGCGGAGAAGAAGGAAGGCGGAGGAGAAGAAGTCAGAGGAGGAGGAGGAGAAGGCGGAGGCGCTGCCGCCCCTCTCCCTCACGGCCCGCCCCGCAGCAAGATGGCGGCTACGGCGC